TTCATTAATCCTACAATGAGACTATATCCCCCACCCCCCCTCCCACCGCACGCACAAACACACCTCCCATCAACACATCCCACACACACGGTATACACTATTCGAACTGATGTAACTTTGAGTAATCATATTTTATCCATCCCGTCACGTTTTCTTAATGGTGACATTTCAAATCATTAATGAACAGTGTTTTGTAATAGTTTGTGGTGGCTACGTTGTACACGACTACCATTTATAGGCTTTAATTAGAAAACTAGAATAGTTTATAATTGTGGAAGTTTATAACTTGGGACACACGCATTTTATAGTTTTTGTGAGACTTTAAGTAAAAGATTACTCTATTATTGTCATATATATGATTAATATAATCAAACAGTACTAGGACAGCTGTTGCTCCTACAACTCTTTACATACTTTCTCCGCGAATATTTTTTCTTTTACACGCTTCTCTTCTTTTTTTTGGATTTTAATTATATTTATGTAATATATTTTAAATTTTATGATTCATATTTTAATAGTTGTTTTTTAAAATATTCTGAATTGTTAGTTATTGTAGTTTATAATATACTTTATTTAATTTTTAAATGTATAATTTATTTCAAAAAAATTTAAAGATCTAATAATCAATAATTCACAATTAAACTCAAATTATTTGACTCACAAAATTTAGAATAGGTATTAAACAGGAGGAGTTTTGGACGGTTTTACCCTCATTTAGACATAATAATAATGCATAAATGAGTACTTTGGCTTGAACTTAGATGTCAAGTAAACGCTCAAAATTTGAGTATGAAACATATAGGTACTTGAACTCATTGTTATTGTGTTAATTGAAAGCTTTAACTTTTAAAATGATCATCTAGACATTTTTAAAATTAATGTGTCAACTGTCACGTCAGCATCAGATGTTCACGAGACGCAATAGGCATGAATTATCGTGTTTAGTTGCCTTTTTTTAAAAATAATTTTTAAATATATAATTTTATTTCAAGAAATTTAATGTTCTGATATTTAATAATAATTCACAATTAAACTTAAACTATTTCACAAATATCGATAAAAAAAGGGTTAAATAGGAGGAGTTTTGGACTGTTTTACCCTCATTTAGACATAATAATATATAAATGATTACTAGGCTTGAACTTAGAAAATTTGAGTATGGACATAATAGACACTATAACTCGTTCTTATTGTGTTAGTTGAACTTTAATTTTCAAAATGATCAGCTAGATATTTTCAAAATTTATGTGTCGTATCAACATCAGATGTCCAGGAGACGCAATAAGGGCGAATTGAGTGTTTAGTTGCAGTTGAGATGGAGTTAAGGTGTCTAAATATATACATTTGATTGAAGTTTAAGTATTTATTTACCAGTTAAGATCAAGTGTTATAATTATCTGCTTATGCATTATACATTAAGTGTTTACTCTTTCGAAGTGTTTGTAGTTTTCAATTTCAAGAATAATTTTAACTAAAAAACATATAAAATGAACAAATTATCGATTTTATTTAAAAATTTTAAAATAATTATTTTTTAAAAATAAGAACGAATTATTTATAACAAAAAAGGTACATGTTGTCATCATCACAAATTTAGGTGTGTCCATCCCCATCCTGATCTTGTCTTTTGAAAAAAATTGCAATACTAACGTATTCTTTTACCCCTTTGTCATATCATTTGAGTTTATCAACACATGTCTTTAGAAGTTAGAGTTGTCGATATGGATCGATTCAGTCTATTCGAGCTTAGTTGGTATAAGCTTGAAATTTAACGGATTGATATTTTATGTGGTCGTGAGTTGAAATTATGATTCACACTTTCTAAAAAATATAATTTTTTTAAATAAAATCTAATTATTTATCTAAAATATTAATATAAATATTTATATTACTTTACATCTTAAAAATATTATATTTTAAAAAGATCCAATGTAAATAGGATATTATTATTGGAAAAATTGTATATAATGGCAAACTATTAATTCAAATTAAATAGTAATTACAATTTGATTTAATTGTGCCCGTCTTTGAAATTCTCGCTTGTCACTCTCCCTCTCTCGCTTGTCAGTCTCTCCCTCGTCTCGCTAGCTTTATACAAATATAAATGTATAAATTGTGTTTCTGTTTGTATAAAGCGGGAGAAAATTGTATATACACATGTAAATACATATGTCTTCGTCCTATACACTTATAATTATACAATACAATATTTTCCTGCCTAGTTCTCTTTTGCCTTTCTCTCTTTCTCGCTTTATTCAAACACAGAATATACAAAATACAATATATAATTTATGTTTGTATAAAGCGAGAAAGAGATATTGATATTTGTTATACAAATGTTTTATTTGGATTGATCAATTGCATACAAGAATTTTACTAGTTTGGGAGTGAATTACTTAGACACATTTTAATTTGTAATATTATTAATCTTATCAGATTCTTGTGCGTTCGGATACATTCAAATATATGTATATCATGATATGTGAGGTAAACATTAGGTGTAATTTGTACCAGATACAGTGTTCCAAGTGGATTCACAATATTTGGGATATATAGACAAATTCCAGTCACCTCCCTCTCATCTCGCTCATCACTCTTCTATGTATATGATATTTCATATGCATGCAAATCACACTAGATACTTATCTATACATGTATCAAGTGTGATTCACATGTATCTTGGATACATGACTATCTAGCTCCCGCCTCTCACCTTATTTTAGTGTATTTGATATAAAAAAATTATGTATCTAAGTATATCTTTCTTAATGTTAGATAATTCTTAATTCGTGATAAGATACATAATTAATTGAAAGTATAGTTAGAATTAGTATATGTGCTATCGATGTATATCTAACAAGATAGTTTTTTATGCTTGTAATTTATATAATTAACTGATCATTTGAATGTGTCCTAATTTGATTAGTCACAAATTTACAAACATAAATATAAAAAGAAAATCTTATCATCTTAAACTACATAAGTGGGACATGCCTAAAAGAATCTTGGACAATAAAAGAACAAATAATTGATAATAAGAAAGCTTCTTCATGAAAAAAGTATGTAGACAACAATCTTTGTTATTACAATATCATAATTTTGGAAAAGTTTCTAAAGAAAAAAAAAAGCAACTTTTCCTTTATACATTTTTGTCAAAAAGTATGCAGTACAAACCTTTTCTTTTCTTCCTCTTTTTCTTGAAATCAAGTTGTCCCCCCTGGCCCCTAAATCCTTGAAATCTTGCACAAGTAATTATATTCGTACCGATATTAATTAAAAGTCTTGAGTTTAAACTTTGTAAATATAAAAAAGAAATTTGTTCAGAAAAAATGGCACTCTTCAATACGCAAATTTAAATTATTCGAGCTCTAATAAGGTATCAAGTACTAGATGAGAAATGATAGAATAAATGGACTGCACTCCCCAGTTTTAATGTCATATTGATGTTTCACTTTTCGAGAATCAGATTATACGCATTTTATCAATATTTGAAAGATGTTTTATTTTAATAATACCAACATGCAAAAAATAACCGACTTAAATTATTTTTTCCATAGTTGTTAAGTATTGTTTTAAAAGACTCCGTTGGGACTCGTCTCAGGACTCGCCCTGGGGCGGACTCTAGTAAAACGCAATGAGACTCAAGTGTGGGGCTTAGTTCTATTAGACTTACGCGCTAAACGTCCGACGGTACGCTCAACGCCCAATGCTTGGGGCTCGCCTAACAGATCTTAGACAAATTATGCGTTAAAATCTTTAGTTAATATTGTTGATCCACATAATTCTTGAAAAAATGAATGATACTTCATAATTTTTAATCTATAGAGATAAGAAGATTGAAATAACTCAAATAACAAGTTGTAGTATCACATTTTTACTATTTGATAACACTGAGAATATGATTATACATTATGTAACATTTACGTAACAAATTTTTTTTTTCACTTATCATTGGTTTTCATGATTTTGTCATAAATCTCAAAATTATCATATTTTATTTGGCTATTTGAAAGTAGTTTTACTTTTATTTATGACGGAGTGATTTTTTATTATAATACTAGTAAATTTATTGATTATTTTCTTTTTAGGGAGGTGAATTGTAGAGTATAATAAAAAAGTATTTTTAGAAATAATGATTCTTTTATTATTAAAATATTAAGAACTTAAGATATTAGATTATTTATACTTGTAGAATCATTTAAAAGTTTTATTTTCTACTAGTTTTATTAATCATGTTTGTAATTATTTCAAACAGTGATGTATTATTATAATTTTGCATTATTATACTATATTGTAAATTGAAAATCCAAATATCCATAGGGTTTACGCCTCACCTATACTAAGTAAAATGCCCTGCCTCACACCTTCACATTTTAAAACATTGTAACATTAACTATTCAATTTCAAATTATAAAATAGTAAATTAATTTAATAAAATTTAATTATAAAAATTAATCAAATTGACCTTTAAAAAATTAAATATGACCACTAATTTGAGATATAAAAACATTTGTTTAACATTCTTTTACTCTTAACTACTATAGAAAAAGATCTTAAAGGTGGTTGGAATTTAATTAGTTTTTATTGGATGCCCTTTAGCCTAATTGGCCTTTAGTTTTAAATTTATAAAAGGATCCCTTATTTTGGATCTAACATTCATGTAAATTTTAAAAAGTTTTGAGTAAAAGATCAATTGTCGATGAAGAAAAATACTTTAATTATGATGAATCTCTTCAAATCAGATTTGTCAAAAAAATCGAATGAGATGATTTGCCATCACACAAATTTATTTTAGAAAAAAATTAAAAAATCTTTTAGTCAATACCACTTAAATTTATCAATATTAAAAATATTTATATTAAAAAAAAGTTTTGCACTTAATGAAATGATTTAAAATTATTTCATTAAGACCACTGTAAAAAATAATTTTATAACAAATATTGAACCCATACAATTTTTCATAAGTAATAAACTTGAGGCAACAATGGAATTCTTTCATTTTTGGAAGAAGTCAAATTCAAGTCCACACACATTTTTTTCTTCTTTCTTAATTTGTCCATCAATTTTACATTAAATTTGTGTAATGATTCGCTTCGATTATTATGAGTAAGTCAATAGTGAAAGAATCAAGTTGGAAATTTTTTTGATTAGTAATTTAAATTTTTTAGGCTAGACTAGTGTTAGACGACATCTGAGCCAGGTGAGGTGTAGGGATATTCAAAAATGTGTTGAGTGATATGACTAGTCTTGGGTTACGTTCCCTAGTCACCAAGACATTGTGAATCCATAAGGCCATTCAGAATTAAATTTGGGTGAGTAAAACTTTTTGTATCGAATTTGTCGTGAAGCTCTTGGTTTAGAACGTCAATATTCGAAGGTGTACATGTTGTAAAATGAGGATTTGAGGGATTATATATATGAGGTTCTGCCTCCGTGCAAGCCGCTATAGCGGGATGAATTAATTCATACATCTGCTATAGCGTGTTGGGCCGCTATAGTAGACTTAGTCAAGATTTTGTGCAGAAAAACCACAAAAAACTCCCAATTTTCGCAATTTTATTCTCAAGACTTGGAAGAGCGATTTTGGACAACTTCCGTTAGTAATTCCACCAAATTCTTCGCAAAGGTAAGTTAATTACTTCACCAACTTGTTATTTGATCCTTAAACTTTAGAATGTAGGTTATTCATTGGAGAACATTTTTTTAACTCTAAATTCAAGGGTGAGTCATTTCCTTCGGGCTGCTATGAATTCTTCATCATCTTCTTGGTCCATTTTTCGAACTCAAACATCGATCTGGACTTGCATTTTTCATTTTTGTTTTCCGGTTTCATTCCTATTCTAGACTGTAGATGTTTTGGTACTATAACTTTCAGGTTCTAAGGAGTTTATTTGTGCACTTGAGTTCTTCTAAAATTTGAATTTATGGGAACTCAATCTTTTAATCGTTTAAAGACAATTTTTATTAGTTTTTTTATACAATAACTCAGTTTCAACATGTGCATTTTAACAAATCAAGAAAGGAAATTATTGTTTTTACATATTAATTATACCCTCAATTAGTTACAATTTTTATTAGTTTTTTATACAATAACTTAGTTTGAACATGTCCTATTTAAACAAATCAAGAAAGAAAATTATTACTTTTACATATTAATTATACCCTCAATTAGTTACAATTTTTATTAGTTTTTTATACAATAACTCAGTTTCAACATGTCCTATTTTAACAAATCAAGAAAAAAAATTATTACTTTCACATATTAATTATACCCTCAATTAATTACAATTTTTATTAGTTTTTTTATACATTAACTCACTCTCAACATGTCCATTTAACAAATCAATAAAGAGAATTATCTTTTTTACATATTGTAATTTTAATTAATTACTTTAAAAAATATAAATTATTTTGAAAATCTTACACTTTTAATTCATACACTTAAAAATTAATAATTAATAAGAATAAAATGATAAACTCTAATAAATGTGACTATTCAAAAGTAAAACAAATAATTAGCGAAAAATAGAGTAGATAATTGTGAGGACAAAGAGGAGACAGACAGCAGTTAATTCTGTTAATTTTTTTTTCTTAAAAAAAATGATTACTCAAAAGAGAGACAAAAGTGATTAGACATGTTGAAATCAACCTCTAAATCGAATCTTTTGATAATTACGTTTCTATAATAAATAAAAAAATAAAAAATAAAAAGAAGCTTAGAAAATGACAATTTGATGGGACCAAAGAAATAGCCCTTTAGAAGACTTGTGTCAAGATCCTAATGGATAAATTTTATTTATAGTTAGAATCTCACACAAGGAATTTAGAACATAGAAGATAAATTTAAATTTCCACAAAATAGATAATTATTAAATAAATAAAAGAAAGTTCAAGATATTTCATACAAAAATCAATAAAGTACTCTCTTCTCCGTTTACTTTTACTTGTCGCTTATTCTTAAATTCTAAAAAATATTTAATATTGTTTTACCCTCGTTATTAAATATGTATTCTCTAAATCATTTTCCAATACTAATATTAAATATAATATAATAGGGATAGTTTGATAAAATACCTATATTAATAATTATTCTTTTAATAAGTGTAACGTGTCAAGTCAAAACATTGACAATGTGAAATTAAACGGAGGAAGTACTAGATTTAAATTGGAGAAAAAAAAATCTAGTAAGTTCATATAGTAAATGATTAGTTTTTGTGATCTTTAACGAAGGTGGATTACTTATGATTAATATTTTTCTAGGCTGATAAAATTTTGAAGATGAGGTGCATGTGATATATAAATTTTAAATTCTAACTCGAACAGGGCTGTAGGGTTGTGTGCACTGGCGGAGCCACCTTAAAATTAGGGGGTTCATTCGAACCTTAATCCGCGGAAAATTATATTATATTTACATGGTTAAAATAACTTTTTTATGTATGTATAGTAGATGTCGAATCTCTTTCGACTACTTCGTATGTGTATTTCTTCATATTTTAAACTCTTATCGAAAATTCTGAATCCGCCATTGATTGCGTGGGTTGGGGGCCGGGTGGGGGTTGTTGTTTGAGAATGATGTTGTCCCTTCACATATCTATCCCATGAATGTCTCCATGTATATAGAATTGCCCTTAGCTTATGGAAGTGAACAAAGTGAAAATATATAGACACATCAGGAAATATATATAATGACCCATAAATTATTGTTTGTTGTTTTATTTGCTAAAAGATGTATAGATGATAAGAATATGAAGTCCTTACTCAATTCACCAACAAGGAAAATGTTTTTTTTCCCGATATTTGTATTAGTGTTAGACTGTCAAATACATATATACATTACGTAATTCATTTTGTGGACATTGCCTTTTGCATTATTTTTTTTCTTAAAAATTCTGATTCGAAATCTTTAATAAAGAACGACAAAGGAAAACATAATTTTTTATTATTATCATGAGTATTAAGGTTTTATTATTCCTCCCAAAATTCACAATAATTGGTTTTATTCCTTCCAATTGGTTTGAATGTTAAGATAATCAAAGTTGTGGTAAACACTTGTGATTGGGGAGAATAATCTATACGTCATTCACTTATATAATTAAATTATTGCATGTTACATCATTACATTCTTATCGACTAATTAATTAATTAATTAATACGTTAGACACAAAATTTGATTTTGCATTGATTTTTATTCGTTTATATATAGTGACAATCATTAAAGAAATAATATATTGATGTTTGGATAGACCCAAAAAAAGTCATATACATTAAAGTATTTTTTATATTTAGAATTTTGAAAATATCAAGACATTTAGTTTTAATTGAAGAAGTATATAACACAATAATAACAATTTTTTCAAAAAAAATACTTATACGAAATGTTTACATCAAATTAAAATAATTTATCATAGTTAAATGATAAAACTAAGTCGAGAAAATAATTAAGACATTACGATTGGTTGATCATGATATTACTAGAACAAATAATCCCGATATAAAATATCACATGAGATAATCCAATGTTTTGTATGGTTGATTGCATGTGAAAAAATAATCGTTGCATAACTAATAATATAATGTGTGATTGACAATATATGAGAATTATTCAAAAAAAATTGCATACTATTTTATGAGAGTTTGATTTGTGAAATAATAATAATAATATGTTTAGCATTAATATGGCAACTAATAACCACATGATAATAATCTCTTCATTATTAATCTCGGTATTAGGAGGCGATTTCTACATTATAATTTACGTTTAATTAATTAGCCTATATAAATTATGTCTAATCAATTCTATGATTAGGTTGTCTTGAATAAGAAGATACATGTATAATATAAAAAATTATAGAACATAATATAATTAAGTAAAGGGGGATTAGATTAATTAAAGAATCTAATAATTGAGTTATGTTTAAAAACATGCATGTGGGATATATATAAAAAAAAAATGATTAGTAGGTTGTACGTAACAATTAATTGCCATGCAACGTACAAGAGAAAAACAAACACATAAAGACAACAAGAGGAAACTAGTATATTGTGTGGGGTATTTTTTTGGTGGGTTATTGTGGGGGTGGGGTGGGGGGTACTTCTAAAAAAGATATTTTTTCATTGAAATTTCTCACTTAAAAATGTTTGCTGGCGATGCCCACAAATATTACGATTCAATCAGTGAGAATAGAACAAATATATAGTAATATTTTTATATGAACAGAAAATTAGGAAGCTTTCTATTATTTTAGTGTAAATTTATTTTTTACTATGTGTTTTCTTAGTGAGATGATTTAATGGAAAAGTGAGTGAGTTATAATATAATGACCCGGAAGATCATTTTTAAAACATTTTACCCCTCTCGATAGTTTTCTCAACTCATTTATGATAAGTGTGAGAATTTGGTATTTTTTAAAATCCGATGTCCCCGAAGGGAATGGGAAGTTGGTATTGAAGTTTGAGTATAAAATTGTAATTTTTGGAAGTTTTGTGTTTTAAAAGGCTTAAATTGTTTTAAAGTGTTTTCTTTAGTAACAATAGAAGTTTTGAGTCTCAAAATGAAATTTCAACAGTTCCACAAGCCCCAGAATGTGGAATTTGATATAGGAGAGTCATCAGTTTCATATTCAATTTTTTTTTTGAATTTGAGGTCTTAAATTGAAGGTTGATGTAATTTAGTCATTTGGTTGATTTGGCCACATTTAGAATTTGGATATTTAGATCAATTCTATATTATGATAAAAGGGTGATAAAATAAAGGCAACTTAATGATATATTGACGTGGGATATGTGCGGATAACTTGAATTTTTGTATTGATTTGTTATTGGTGTTGTAACACGACTATGTTGATGTAGATTGTGTGTTGATATGCAAAGCATCATATTCTCATGAATTGTGTGAACATGCCTATTTGCAGTGGTTTCAAAACACTATGGTGAGATCTTTGAGATAAAATAACGATGGAAAATGATTTCGGCAAGTTGTATATCGAGGGGTCATACCACACACTTCATAGCATGTTCTATATTGAGGGTCGAGCCACACACTCGTGGAAGGTTCTATTAAGGGGTTGGGTTACACGGTCTATAGCAGATGCATGAACTGATAAGTCCCCCATAAATTCTGTATGAGTCTCAGTGAATTAATATGTATCACGGGACAAACATGAATCATTTTTCATGACATTTCATTGCATATCATTTTTAGCTGTGAACTTGTGTTGTGAAACTTGTGATTGATGGATGCAGTATTTTGTGTTGATGACCTATATTCGTTGAAGTGTTGTTATAATGCTACTTGCTATATGAATTGCGAACAGTTAGATTGGACTAATTTCATTGCAGATTGTAGTTTGTGGAGGTTCAGATGGGTTGTTATGAGTGTTCGTATTCTATTCTATTTTGCATGGTGTTTGTTGGTTTGCTTGATGAGTTTTCGTGTTATTTGATACTCATTCATTTCTTCTACACTTGTGCAGATTTTGAACTCGAATCTTCGTGATTTATCTTTTTCCTATACTTCGCATGAGGCTTTTCTATGGAGACTTGAACGGTAGCTCAACGACCCTCTTGCTGATCCTTTGCTATGTTCTTGTTCTACTCTATAAACAAAGACATTGAGATTATTTGTATTTCATTTTAATTAGTTGTAATACAAAAGAGGCTTGTACACATGTGACAATCATGTTTTTGGGGTATCATTGAGATTGACTAAATTATCTGGATTTATGTTATTGATAGTTCTTTTCTTTTTTTCTGTATTTTGTTGTTATGCTTTAGGTCTTAGGCTAACTTGTCTTGATAGAGTAAAATGAGTGTCATCACACCTATTTTTGAATCGTAATAAAAACAAAAATTTCTCATTAATCACGATTAAAAAAAACTTGTATTTTTAATAGTGAGGAAGTATTAGAGCCTTGAGGTAGAATGTCTTAAGTTGTAACTTGGTATCCTTCATAATATATAGATTTACCACAATTACTTCATAATTCAAATTATATACGTCGATAGTATATAAATATATTACACAGTAGATGTTCAATTTAATCGATTATACTGCGATTTATTATTACTATTTAATTTATTTTCCAGGTTATTACATTAGGTTTACTAGCTCCGTCAATGTTAATAATTATTTAGGTATAACAATTACATTTCTAAGATAAAGGAAGCAAAAAGTTATATAAGATATTGCAAAACACAATCAATTTTTTTTTTCATCACAATAATTTTTATTTTAATATTTTTTTATTACTATATCAAAATATTGTTACATAAAGCTAATATGACATGACATAACATAGAAAACTATTTAAAAATAGTAACATTATGATGACATTCTATTATAAAAATATCAAATACTATAATATAAAAATAACAATTGCCATATATAACTCTTTTTCAAATGAAATAGATATCATAATATTATAATCAAATATAGAAAAATAATAAAAACTCAACACATGTGACACAAAATTGTAATGCAATTTATCATCTAGATTCTATAATCTTATCTGTTGTGCAACATCATTTTATTTATGTCCAACTTTAAAGACAATGCCTCGAAATCAAAGGCATAATTCAATATATAAAGTATAATAAAAATATAATATTCATTGTTTGTAAATTATATCTAAAATAATTTACATATATCTAAAATAATTTACAAATAACAATAACAATAATAACATATCGCTGATTTTGCTATAGTTATTTACGATTTGATAGCAACGATTTAACTTATTAGTGATATTGATATATTGTCTGCTCTAAATCTAAGCTCACACGATTTTAAAAATGTGTTACTAGTTGGTAAGATCTACTTACTTATTTACTCAATATTTCTTCTGTGTTTTTGCAAATATAAGACTTCTTTGAACGGTATAATTCGAATCGGATTGTGTAATTCGAATTTCAAAAATAATAATAATATTTTTTTGGTGTTCTTTAAAGTTGAGACTTTTTTTTTGTTAAATACATTATAATACTAGTAGTTATGTCTAAATAACAGTTCAACAAAATTCCTACTAATTATAGGAATTAAAATCAAAATCTTTAATCAAACCTATAAAATTCATCACATAACATTCCTTAGTATCTATACTAGCAAAAAAAAAGATTGATTTCAACTTCTTCCTTGTTCTATTAATATACTTAGATCCATTTCAATTCATTGTTTTCTTTTATGCTGGATATTTTATTTTATACTGTTCACGTTTTAACTGTTTAATTCTTAACGTGTGAGGAAAATAATATCAGAATCATACATCAATAAAACAAGTGTGATATTTCATTTTTTTATATGATTTTAAATAATCCTTCCAAATTAGCTTAATTTCAAATTAAGATAAATCAATCATTCAAAATAATTTTTAAATTTGAGTTAGATTCGATATTTTTTTTGTATAGACATAAAATGCCAATTTTATTGCTTAAAGTTTGCAAATGACACATAAGGTGGTAGGGGCCCTCTTAGATGACGGCGAAAAATAAGGTAAAAGTCCATAACAGCCCATCAAATACGTGGCTTTTGGGAAACAGACACAAGGGCAATCTTGACTTTTTAGTACTCAAAGAATCTTTTACACTAACTTGTGTCTCACACAAGCTCTCGAAGATATTTGATTCGTCAAATAAAAATAATAATTTTGAGATAAAATTGATATAAAATCTATCTCTGATTTGATTTAGCGTATTAGTGAATTTACATTAAAATGATGAAATACGAAATAACATGAAACATTAAGAAGAACGTGATAGAAGTGATAATCATCATCTTGGAATAAAGATAAGGGAAAAAGGACAAATACATCCGTCATATTTTTTGGAGTTCGATGCCTTTTTCGTTCAAAAACAAAAATATATGTGCCCTTCACTCTAATGGGAGACTAAATAGGGATAGATGACACAATCTTCTCCTTCGATAAGTGTTGGATCGGTGGATAAGGTCATGACACGTGTATGTCCATCAGTACAAAAAGTATATATGCTCTAGTTTTTCAACGCAATGGACACCAATATCCCAAAAATAAGACGCAGGATATCTGCATATTATGTACGAAAATTCAGAGATATATTTATCCTTACCTTAAAGAATTTCCAAACAATTTCATCATAACTCGATCACACAAACTTTGATTATTACCAAGATCTTATCCATGTTAAGTTCTACTCTTTTTTTCTTATACATATAATATTGCTACTAATTATAGTCAGATCATATGATTAGATTGTGACAAAATATATTAGTAATACTCTTTTGTCCTCATAATTTCAAAATTTTTGCTCTTTGCCTAGCTGACAAAAATTTCAATCACTTCCCTTTCTGTTTATATGACAAATTTAATTGACATAAAATCTTTAGAATTAAAATTTATAAAAAAAAATTAAAATTTTTGGCTACAAAAAGTATATTTATATTATTAAGTACATTAAATTATTTTAAAGATTGCTGTCATATTGATATGATTAGGTTGTCCCAAAATATTAGACATTTTGTTTTTATTTTCATAATTATTGCTCTTTGCTTAGCCATCAACGTTTTCAATTACTTCCTTTGTATAGTAATTTAGTTTGATATGAAATTAATTATTTTTTTTATTTAAGATTTTAATTTTGATGTGATTGATATACTTATAAATATATGATATTAAAAAATTTATAAATATGTTAAGGTTGATTATCTCTGACTTTATACATATATACCTCTATATATAGGTATATTATTATTATTATTATTATTATTATTATTAAAATAATAATAATAACAATAATAATAATAACAATTTATTTTTTTAATATTTTAGAAAAGTAAAAACCCCTCAACCTATGCCCGAAATCTCAGAGACACACTTATACTATACTAAGGTCCTATTACCCCCTGAACTTATTTTATAAGTAATTTTCTACCCCTTTTTAGCCTACGTGACACCAGTTTGAAAAAAAAGTCAACCATCGTTGGGCCCACAAGATAGTGCTACGTAGGTCGAAAAGGGGTAATAAATTATTAATAAAATAAGTTCAGGAGGGTAATAGGACCTTAGTATAGTATAAGTGTGTCCCTGAGATTTCGGGCATAGGTTGAGGGGGTATTTGGACATTATCCCAAGTAAAAATTAAAGGAACTTCTCTTCTTGAATGAAACAATCAAAGAATACATTTTTAATTTATTGTCGATGAAGGGCAAATGAATTCATCAACAATTATTGTAACTAATTATTGTAACACGTTTTTAAGTGACTAAACAAAACCATCAATAAAAACACTACTTGATTAATATTTTGAACATTTTGTAATTATAAGCACCCTAATTAATATGTTTGAATCAATCATGTCACAATCATAAAGAAGTGAGGTAGTTATTTTTGGTGATCAATAAATGATTGAAGCTAAAGATTCACATATTTGAGTTATGGAAATGAAAATTAAAGTCTTTTATCTTTAGTAGAGAAAGTTTGATATTTATCGATAAAAATTTAAATTAATCGAATTTTACTATAATAAAAATAACTTTTAGTGGCATTAAACATTGTTACTAATAAAAAGTGCTGAAATCTTTATCGGCATTAATTAAATATCAGTAGAGTCGATATCGCAAAAGGCTTTAGGGATATATACAAAGAGTGTTAATTGCCGCTAAAAATACATATTTAGCAGTAATTAAAAATTAATTGTCACTAATGATCATTTTTTATAAAGTGTTTGAAAGTAAATTGGATAAAAATCAAATGATTTTAACCAAGGAAATGAAGTGCTGCCAAAAAAAAATATGAAGGAAAGAACTCGTGATAACTTATATTATATTGTTAAAATAAACTATTGTAAAACATACAAAAATATTAGCGACATTCAAAATAATTAAAAAATATATATAACTTAGTAATATGAATTCAAAACTAAAAAATATAGATAAAGTGAATCTAATGATTTAACAAAATTTATACGCTGATTAAACTAATACATAACTAAAAACCTACTTAAAAAAGAATTTTATATTTTAAGTTGATAAAATAATTTAAAATTTAAAATTTATGAATTTTGTTATTATTTTAAGTTAACATAATTAAATTCATAGTCCAATATTTAAATTTTATATTAATTGAGTTCACATAATTTTATAATCAATATATGAATAGATTCGTCTAATGACCAATTAAATTAATTATTTTTATTATATAAAAAAAATTATTTACACAATCAGTATACAACAATGTCATCTATAAATCCCATTATATATTTTTCATAAAACTATGCCAACAAAAGTAGATTTCTTGTGACTTTGGTTTATCATGAAAGTTCCAAGAATATACAATAACTAACTTTACACAAACATAAGCTGCTTAAATTATGTAACTAATTACAAGTGGCAAAGTGTTCTTTTCAACCTCTCCCACTATATAAATATACACCATTTTTATTAATCAACAAAAAAAATATATGCCCTTTTCTCTCTTTCCAAATCCCAAAAAGAAAAAAAAAAGAGAGATCTACTTTTTTTTTAATTTTTCTTAATTACCAAAAATTATTATATTAAATATGGGTTTAAGAGATATTGGATCAAGTTTGCCACCAGGATTTAGATTCTATCCTAGTGATGAAGAATTAATATCTCATTATCTTTACAAGAAAATTGCTAATCAAGAAGTTATTAAAGGAACTTTAGTGGAAATTGATCTTCATACTTGTGAGCCATGGCAACTTCCTGGTAAATTTCTTT